GCTGGGCTCCGGTGATCCTTTCTGCCTCAGTCTTCCAAGTAGCCGGAACTACAGGCGTGTGCTACCACGCCCGGCTGATTTTTTTATTTATTGTGGAGATGAGGTCTCGAACCCGCGGGCTCAGTCAATCCATTCACGTCAGCATCCCAAAGGCGTGGGATTACAGGCTGAGCCACCGAGCCCGGCTGGCAGCAAGTTCTTGGAACACAAAGTAATGTGGGCAAAGGCATCCTAAGACATCAGATAGGTCACTCTGATGGTTTTGAATTTTTAAAATTTATCACTGAGTGATTTTCTAAATATCTTATAATTTTGAAAAAATGCCTTCAGCTTCTGAAGTGTGTTGAGACCTATGAATCCCACTGGGTTCCAGAGCCTACATGTATAATTTGTAATCAGAAGATGTTTGAGCTCCACCCTTGTACTGCCTACCTGTGTGGCCCGGTATCGAATAATCGGATGATTCTTATTTAATCTGAATGTCTTGTCTCAGGTAAACATATCCCTGAAGTAGAGCACCTCAAGAATGAAGGACATATTTCATATTTTGTTTCATGTCTTAGGTTTTATTCCAAGACTGATTAGATTATTTATACATTTTTATTATTGCTTGGAGAATTTCTAGAATTTGTCAGAGAATTTGATCGCTCTTAAAAATGTCATGGAGATATTGTTTTAAGCCATACTCTATTTTTTTTCTTCCTCCCACTTAAAGTCTTGTTATTATCACCCAATACCCACATGCCATAGTCAGTTGTTTTCTAAACATTTTTAAAGCTCGGAACATGGAGGATATTCCGGTTATTTCAAAATTGCTATTTTCTCATTAATGGAGACAGTTTGAGAGCCTGTTACCCATGTCAAAGCATGTATGATTTTTAAATGAGCAGACTGCCAAACCTTAGCAAACAAATAGTATTCATTCATCATAATGTCATGCATGTGCTGTTATGGACTGAATAATTTTGTGGTTGAAGTTTGATTTGCAAGTGAGGTATAGGAATAAATATTGTATACCTTCATATTTCTATAAAATATTCCATAGTATATAACCCTTCCTCCTTACATATGTATATGCATATATGTATGAAATCAAGTACCTGGCTGCAGTTCTAGTAAAATCAAGATACACCTTTCATTTCTGTGTTGGTTTAATGCAGCTGGTAGCAAGCACACTGTAAATTTAGTTTTTACCTAGAAATAACAAAAGTCATGCCCCCAATTGATGGTTGTTTTATGTTGTTTAGATATCAAGTGCCATATGTCATTTCAGGTATTTGGCATATAGCTTTGGCATACAACTAGATCTTTTAAATTTTTTCGCCTGACAAAAATTATGTTTTTATTCAGTCATATGAAGACTCCTTTTTCCTCTTTCTCCCTTTCACCCTCCTTCTACCTCTGCTTTCCTCAATCCTTCCCTCTCTCTCTCCCTCCCTTCCTTCTCATCTTTCTTTCCTTTCTACCTGCCTAACTTCTTTTATTTTGTTGAGGATAGGTTCTAGTGCTTAAGGATACCAGTTGATTGCCATTTAAAAGAATAATTTTCACTTACTGTCTTGTGGGAGAGGGAAACAATACTATCTTTTTAATGGAAGAAAAGTCAGTGTAATGTATCAGCCAATGTAAATGCAATAAGGAATAACATTGAAATCTACTTATGTCATTTGACATTTTGCTTGGCAGTACCAACATATTCCATAAGCTGGAATTCCTCTCTTGCATAAAGTAGACAATAATAAGCACAAGGAAATCTATTCCATACATTTATGAAACAAATATAATTTTCTCAGTTTTCAGCTTGCTTGCAGAAATAATTGTTTTAATATTCTGGTTCATTACCCAGTATGCAATAGATATCCACTACAAGAAAAATGGAACAAGTTGATGATTACAAAGAAACAGGGGCTGAATTATTCTGTCAAAATTAATGTGTGCACAACATCAAGCATGCTCGTGTGTGCACTAGGAAAACAACCACAAATGGATGCAGTGAAATTTGCATCATCAGTGATTGTTTCTTAACTTTGTAAAAGAGTCGTTGCCTATTTGAATCCTCTCACTGACCCCAGAAAGAGCTGCTTTGCTTCAATGTGTCCATGGAAATATCCTAGGAAAGTGGTTACACACTTAAAATAATACATACCAGGCACTGACATCATTCTTTTATAATAAGCATAAATGAATATGACAAGAAAAAGATTCTACCAGAATTACAGACTATTTTCATGCTGGCTGACTTGTTGGAAAGAAAGGATTCACTTCCTTTCTCTTCTTACCATCCCTTCCTCACCAGAATTGTCATTTTATATTTACAATTAATACTGCATTGTTTGTCTCAACTTTTGAAATTGCCTTGACCTCTCATGTAAAGTAACAGGGCTTTGAGTCTGCCATCTTTGGGTTTCCATTCTCTCCAAACAAAAGCTAAAATACTGTGAGTGGAAACTTCTGACCCCCTTATATTTGAAAAGAACTGTAATCAACTGCAAGAGAAATTTTAAAAAAATGAAAACTTATCTTTTAAGGGTTACGGCTGTTCATCACATTGCCTGGTGTTTAGAAAGAGTAATTTCTTGCTATCTCAGTAAAAGTGGATATAACCTGCACCTCAGTGGATCATTTTCCTGCAAGAATGGAAATGCCTATGGTGTGAACAGAAGCAACAAGGAGAGCATTGCACAGATGCAGTACGGAGTGGCCTTTCCCACCAGAGGTAGATTCTGGCTGTTTAAAGTCGCTCAGCAGTCAGCTGAATAAGAGTTCACCCAGGGAGCTCTTCCCAGGGCATCACCTGCAGTCTTGGCTCTTCTTCTCACCCCCCGAAGCCCATTGAAATCTGCATTCCACCACTGTTTAGGAATCTTAAAACACTCCTTTCTAAAAGTGTTGAACAGTCAACAATTCAATGCCATCAGTGTGTCCCCCCAATTACTCACTTCCCCACCTTGTATCCCCAGAAAAGCACCGTGTCTCCATGCATTAAAATACAAAGCCTGTGTGTGTGTGTGTGTGTGTGTGCACATGTGAATGCATTAGCATTTTGCAGAAAAACAATTTTTTTAAAAAGAACAAAAACTGGAGAATGTTGCATTTTTTGGTGGTTTTTTTTTTGTATTTGCGCAGACCATTTTAGAATTTTCAGTCTCAACAAAACACTATTAAAACAAAGAATCTAGTAAAATATTTGTGCATGTACTGCTAAACAATTCTAGCAATTTTATTAAGCAATACCTTTATTATTTTTGAATATTCTTAACAGACTGGAACAAAACATTTTTTTATTCAAAACAAAATATGCATACTGTACGCATGTCGCAGGGTTAAGTATGATGCAGAGTTAAAGTCTGTTTGAACAAAAACAAATGCCTGGGGGAATTTCATAGCTATAAAGTTAATAACTAAATTTTGTTCGCTAAGAGGACCTTTTCTATGGATTTCCTCCTTCTCTCAGTCACACTGCAAACTTATCTGAAGTGCACTTCCCAAGTGTAGTTAGAGAATAGGAAGGAATGTAAAATATTTTTTTAGATTATTTGTTTTCTTTGTTTGTTTTTTTTAAAAACAGCCCTTATTAACTCTTCCTTCCACTGATTCTACTGTAAACTCATAAAAGCCTTTTTTAGAAAGCAAATTCATATACACTCAGCAGGTGAAATGTTCCCACAAAGAAAAAAAAATACAAACAGTGATCAGACTTCTCTTCCTCAGCTACCTAGAGCATGTTAGAGTGATAAAGTTTTTGCACTTTAATAAAAATGGCTGACCTATTTATTATTATTTTTTTTTAAAAGAAGTTGTTCCTCTGTGATACTGCAAAACTGCATACACTTTATACCTGGAATAATTTTAAACCATATGTTAGGGAAATACTGGAATAGAATTGAATATATTTTGTATACTGCAGATGTTTGAGCATTTCTAGAATCGCTTCCACACTGATAGAAGAGGAAAAGAAGTCCGGATTTGTGTCCGCAATCTTTTTGATCTCATTACCATGGCCAAGATGTGCTCATAGATTACTGCAACAGAACTGAAATCACAATGACAGCCCGCCTCCACCTTCGAGGGAAAGACTTCCTCTCTCTCCGCATCCTGACTCTAGATGGCTACTCCTGCCCAACTGACCAGCAAGGAAGGACCAGGCCACCTGGGAACATGAACAAGAGCAACACAGTTCATGAGAGTTTCTTTCTTTCTTTCTTCTTTCTTTCTTTCTTTCTTTCTTTCTTTCTTTCTTTCTTTCTTTCTTTCTTTCTTTCTTTCTTTCTTTCTTTCT